TATTATAATCAGATTACTAATTATTTATTAAATATTAGTCACCTTGACCAAAAATTTAGACACAAAATTATAAAATGCAGTTAGTGTGCGGCAATAATACATTATTATTATATTATTATACTCACGTCAAATGTTCGTTAAATAATGCAATAAAAGTATCTTTTTAACTTTGACAATATTATAGTATAGCAGAAAGCACTAATTTAAAGCAAATTGAAAAATCAAATTGACGTTTTTTATAAATCTTTAAGATATTTTTTAAAAAATCTTGTAAAATTGAAAAAAATTTATTGGTGTTTAATAGTATATTTGGTTTTTATTTTTAAAAGACTATATTTATAAAATTAAAGTATGAATCATGAATCTCTTTCAATATAGAATATATATCATTTGATTATGAAAGTATAGTATAAATTAAAATTGAGCTGTTATTTATTTAAAAATTTATTTTATTTGTACTTTTTTATTTATAATTCTTTTAAGTGCAGTAAATTTTTAAATATTCCAATTTTTGGAAAAACGTAGTATACAATAGTATAAATTCCTCAAATTTGTCGAGAAAGATAGCACAAAACTTTTCCATAATACATTTTGTAGTACATAAAAAATATTTAAATGATTTTTTTTGATAATGAATTAATAGCGTTTTTGTAATTGTGATAAAAAATACCCTGTTTTTTAGATATTTTTTAAATCGACTAATAAAGGTACAGTAATATAAGGTACATATTATTAAAATTTTAAAATTTGTCACGATTATAAAACTTTTTAATTTTTCTAAAATTAAAGGTAATTTAATTTTATACACTACATTGTTAATTAAAATTAATATAAAAATTAAATAATTTTGAATGCATATAATGAACTGTATTATGTGTGTAAAATATATTTTCTTAATTGTGGTAAATATTCACGGTTTTTACAATACAATTATTTCACACCATTTGATAAATTTAATATTTACGAAATTCATTTTCATATTTCAAATATTAATGATATACTAATCTTTACCACATATTCATTGGAACATGAATCTTAAAAGAAAAAAAGAACTTTATAAGAATGTAATGAAACTACACATTGTTGTTGAAATTTTTTTCCAGTTCAATTGACATTTTATTAAAATAATAAACTATTAAATAGAAAAAGTGACCCAGTTATTAAACTTGTGAACTCCAAATTTTCTAGGAATTCTATTTAATTATCTTTCAGATATTTTTGTTTCTTAAGTACACCGTTCTTATAATTATAGACTTAATTTTATCTTAAAACCATTCGTATACTAGTCATAACAGATTATAAAAATTGATAATTATTATTATAATATAATCCAAATGGATATAGGGATGGAATTGTAATTGGGTGGATATCATAATGGTAGAATGGTAAACTGCTTTGAACTTATTTGGAATATTGTAGGCAATTGGTGGCTTACTTTTGTCGATTAATAACACTTTTTAGTATTTATTACTTGAAATTATTAACAAGGCGTATTTTTTTATGAAAAATATCCTTTTTATGAATGTATTCGAACGTCTCCAATAAATATAGGTATTTTATCTCCAATTTTGTCAAGCTTTATTAACGAGTTCAAGGAATTTGAAAATAGTTTTATCGTTCCCTTTCTTAATGTCACTTTGTCAATTTAATTTATTATTTTCTGATTTCTTAAAGTTTCTTTGATTAAGATGGTCAAACGTTCAAACATTATCTGTTGTGACAATTTTTATTTATAGTTTATTATTTTTTTCTGATTTAGATTATATGGTATTTCAATATAATATAAGTAATAATTTAGTACTGTACTGACTGGATCCACTATTCATTTTGTTTAAAAACTTTCTTTATGGAATGTACTAAAATATCAATTGTGCATTATACGCTAGCAGGTAATGCCGTATGATATTCAATATTTTTCTTAACTACATTGGTTTGGAAACTTCTTTTATCAGGTTAAAAAGAGTTCTGCTGTACTATTAATTCTTTTTAAAAATCGGAGGAACTCTTATATCACAAACGAGCAAGATTGTCAATAAAAGGACATGCTATGTATATACACTATAAAATTATCAGTTTTGACACCAATTTTTTGGTTTTATATAATCATTTTTTTAATTATCGTAAGCAAATTAATTTTAGTTACGATCTATACTCATAAAAAGCAGAAAACGATGCATTTTATTACAAAATAAATACATATATATAAATTTTAGATTATATTGAAATATTTTGCATATTTAAAATTAATGCCTTTTTAATAATTTGATTTATAACAATTACAATTCGAAGGATCAGAAACATATGCAATTTGTTTATATTTCCAATTTAAACAAAATCTAATTTAAAGTATAATTAGTTTTGTATTCAAATAAAGTTATTTGCAAGGTTATAAAACTATATTTAACGCGTTGTTTTGAAATCATACTTTATTAAATTTTTAAAATGAATTTCTAATTTTTCTAATTGTTTACTTTAATTTTACATAAATAATTAATTAATTTTGTTATATTAGCTTATTTAAAGTATAGTCAATTGAAAATACTAGAAACTTGCATAGACTATATATAAGAAAAAATTGTGTTTTACGTAATAATATATAATAAATAAGTGCATTATTATAAATAAATTTCAAATTATTATTGTTGTAAATATAGAAAATTTAAAAGTTACAATCTATAGTTTTATTTACATTAATCTTTTTGGCTTTGACCATAAGTTTGTTTTCAATCATCAAGTTATTAATCAAATTGTATTAAATGTTTTCGTATAGTTAAAATAATAAATATTATGGCTAAATATTCCTCTGATTCTGATTTTGAACAAAATACTAGCAAGTATCGTCATAAACATACAAGAAGATCAAGGTAAAATAAAAATTAAGAATATCAGATATTGACTTATATATAAATTTGTAATACTTTCAAAATAATAATTTTGTTTTTTATTCATAAGTAAAAAAAATATAAACAAATCATTTTTAAAATTTGTTTAATGTATTTTATTTTAATGAAAGCTACATAATGCAGGTTAAATTTATAAAATTAATGATAATGTTGGAAATACATGAAAAAGTAATACAAAAATCAAATAAATAATTTGTTAATTATATATTTTTTTAATTAATAAAAAATTTATAGTTCACTAGAATCTAGTGACAGTTCTTCATATCAAAAGCGAGTAAAATATTCTAAAGTAAGAAAATATCGTTCTCGCTCTAGAAGCAAAGATAAATTTACAAAATATAAACACTTAAGAAGTAGTTCAAAAGAACGACGACGATATCATTTCCAAAGATCAAGATCTATCTCTGGAGATCGTAATTGTTTAAGAAAAAGGTCAGATTCTAGAGAAAAATTTACAAACAGATGTAGTACTTCACAATCAAATATTAAAAATTTAAACTCTGTTAAATCTAGTACTTCAACAGGTATGTATTATGCTTTTATATTTGTAGCAATAATTGATACTTTATTTTTTATGTCCATTTAGATAACCATCTTATAAATGATACAAAAATAAAAATATCTATTTTGAATGATATAGATAATGATACATTTATTCCAAAACAATTTAATTCATCAATGAAAATTAAGGAAACGAAAATGAAAAATATTGAAATAGATATAAATGATACTATACATATTCCTCAATTTACAAAAACATTGGACACTTTCAATAGTATTTTTCATACATCGGTGATATAGTTATACCTTATATTATATTTTGTAATATTATCATTATTTTGAATATAATTTAATTTTAACTTATTTTCAGATAATGGTTGACAAAGAAATGAAGTTTGATAAATGGGTAAAAAAATTGTATTCGTTAAGACAAAAAGTAGTAAATGAATTCAATTGTACTTGAGGATTATTTTCAGAATCAATTTCGAAACAATAGAAATCTATACTTAATTTTACTATTCAAACTTTTGTTTTTTCTACATTACAATTTAAAATTCATTATTATCTATTATTAAATGCAATAAATATTTATTTGGAAAATTAATTTACAAACTTAATGAATACATAACTGTTTAAGTTTGTTTAATTTACAATCTTACCTAACATTTTCTATAAAATTTAAATTACATATGCAATTACTTTAATCAAACATATTACTTTTTATAGAAATAATATTACTAACATTTAAATTAGCAATTAAGTTCATTTTATTTTAAAGAAATATAAATAATTTAATTATTTAATATTGATTGGTTTAATATATTTCTTTAATTGAAATAATATATTTAAGTTTATTAAGAATAATATACCTTTATAGATTATAATTAATAAAATTTATACAAATTGTATATTTTAAACTTTTAAAAAATTTCATAAACACTTATATATTAAACTAATTCAATTTTCATACAAATTATAGTTATTATCCTTTATCATATGACAAAATATTATAATAATGAATGTCGTTAATAAATAAATAATGAAAGAAAATTTTTCTTGAAAAGATAATTTTTTTTTTAAACTACAATACAGGTAAAGGAATGTTATTTTGAAAATCTTTATTCATAAAGTAATATAAATGAATTATTTTTACTATGAAATAAAATATAGATTTTAACAGATCAATACATTAAAAAATATTTAAAATTTATTATTCAATAATTAGCATATCATATTTACTTATTAAAAAAATAATCAGCATCAGATAGTTTTTATTTATTTCAGTACTTCAAAATTTTAATTGCTATTCGTGATTTATAACTTGCTTATCAGATATTTAAATTGAATAACTGATTAACAAGTTTTTCTTGTAATAATTTTCTTTAATATTTTATTTACGCTCAAATATATATTATATATTGTAGACATTACAATAATTGGATAGTTATTCTTCCAATATGCTGTTCAATAATCATTAAAATATTCATATTTCGTTTTTGAAATACATCTTAAATAACTCTAGACAAGAAATCAAAGAATACGATAAGTTTTGAATCTAAGTCTTATATTTATATCTGAATATTCAAATAACATATACAATATAAATAATAATTACTTTTTCATATACATAACACTATCTAAATTAAGAACATCAAATACTATAATATTTTTTCCAGCAAATTGTCCATAAATTCCATCAGATGAACTTCGTTTATATACTGTAAATTATAAAATTGTAATTAATACTATGTAAAGCAAAGAAATAAAATTATTGTTCTGAAATTTCTAACTTACTAATTTCATTAACTGGCTGTAATAAGTATATTGGCATATTATAACATTCATGAGCAATATATGTTCCAACAGTAGATAAATTATCAATTTCAGGAACAATTACTCTCATAGATTCTCTAACCACTTCTGTATTCACTTCATAATATCCTTTATAATAAAACAGTTAATTTATCATTCATAAAAATTACCTATTAAATAGAATTAATATATTACCATTGTACATTTTTTTTAAGAGATCGTGCATATTATGAGGTGCTAAAACTCTTTGACGATTTAATGGCATGACAAAACAACATTGCCCATCGATATCAACAATTCCAGTTTTATTCTGGAATCATTCATGTTAAATATATAAACTTCTACACAAAATAAAATATTACTTACCATACTAAAGTCATGGATAAATCGTCCTTGTCGTCCACCATGAAAATCAGGTACATCAATTTTTTCATAATTTTCATTTTCTAGATCAATTTCAAAATGTTCCATGAAGTAGTTTTTAGTAGTTGTCATTGAATCTTTTAAAGTTATTTTTTGTTGGCCATTATTTTTTGGTAAAGTAGATACTAAATCTGTACTTAACAGATGATTTTGATGAATTTCATCTATAGAATACTGCAATTTATTTGAAATATCGTATGGAATGCTGTACCATCCAGTACAAAATAACTGCATCTGATCTCTTGCATGTAGTTTATAAATGCAAACACCAGCAAAAACACCGATGCTCATAACTGTAATTGCTGTCATAAATAGACATAATGTTGTTCTAATACTTGAACGAAATGTCTTATTATTTAAAATGAGATATCTCTTTCTTATAAAAAATTCGTTTTTATGATGTTGAACCTCTAAATCAATACAAGCCTGATCCTAACAATAAAAAGATCCTTATAAACAAAATATTATACATTATTATTACTAATAATTTAGGAAAAAACTTAGACATATTCAAATGATTGATTTAAAATATTTTGGAACAAAATTTTAATTCTCTATAATAAAATAATAAACAATGAAATTTAGTAGACTGTATTATTAATTTATTTGTAATAAAATAATAATCTGTTTCAAAATACTATCAGTTAGTTTTTATGTATTTACTTAAAATAGAATTAATACAGAACAAAAATATAAACAAAAAATTAATTTGACTTAACCTAAAGGACAAGAGCAAAAAAAAGTTTACTTACAGTCTGATCTTCTATACCAACAACTAATGGTTGCTCCACATTCTCTAAATTTTTTCTTTTCTCATTTATTACTTTTGTAACAACCGTCATTTTTAAATTGATTAATATATCTCAAATAAAAAAAATATTAGAATTTGTAGAGATTAAATATCAATCAACGATTGTAATTAATGTAATAAAAATTACAATACCAGCTACAACAAGAATACAAACTTGATTCTAATATAAATAGGATAGTTTAATACTACATCCGTTTCAGCTATACTCAAAATTTATACTAAATAATAACTATTAAACAGATAAAACATTGAGAAAATAACAATTAATTGTCAGATATATAAATTAGTTTTTACTAATACTAATTAGAAAAGCTAATTGGTTCAAATTAAATTATTTTAATTATTCAATACAATCATTACACTAATTGGTACTATTATTTATTATTAATGATGCCTGCATTTGAAAAAAAATTCAATGAATGGAATAATTATTACGGTCTAACATTGATATTGCCCACACTTTTATTTAACTTCTATTATAAATTTGTTTAATATTAAATTTTCTTTAATATCTAAAATAAATTTTAGGTATATGCATTTTACCAAACAAATCGACTAATATTAACCACTTAAAGAAAATAAAACTCACAATTTATGAAATGTATTTAAGGTTACAAAACAATTATTCCATTCGATGCAAAAAATGAACAAATTATTCAAAAAGTAAAGATTAGTTTTTGCTATTGTTAATCTCTTGAAAATTAGTAAAAGCATGCGCAAACGATGTTTTAGTTTATTGGTTTGAAACCAATTCAATAATAGTGCATATTTACAAAAAAGTTTTTTCTTAGATATGTATTAAAACTATGACTATTTTTTATGAATATAAAATATAAGTAATGTACAAATTATTAGATAAAATAAATAAATATTTTAATATAATACAATTTTTATTTAATATATTTTTTAATTCACTATCTTTATTATAAAATATACAAAACTACACATTAAAATATATTTATTAATTTTACTATTTATCATAAATAAAAAACGAAGGTATATAATCATAATTATTAAATTAATTAAAAATTTATGATATCAATCATTTATAAAATGAAAAAGTAAATTAATACAAATGTATACTAATAATATAATTTCATATAAAAAAAAGAAGTGTTGCATTAGAAATTAGGCATCGTGTTAAGAGTTTATTGACTCTTATAAATGCATGCAATTTAAAAATAGACACAAATTGGTCAAATAAAAACTAATAATAATTATTTCAGGAAAAGAATCTTTATAGATTTCAATTTATTAAATTACATAATTTTTGTATTTACAGATAATAACAAACTGAAAATAATAAACTCATTATTTTAAATGTCATATTTATATTTATACATTTAATAATAATAAATTAAAATGAAAACAAAATAATACTCGAATACACTTATTAATATTACGTACATATTTTCATATTTCTATATTAAAAAGTTCTTAATTTACCTTATATAAGAATAGAATAGACTTAGAATCACATTTATATGTAATCTGACAATACATAAAGAGAAAAAACGCCACGACATGCTATGTGCTAATATTGAATAAATGCGCCTTCCTTTTCCACTTGCCAGCAATCCTCCCACCGAACATCACTGGGAGGTTTTAGTCTAATCCTAGATACTGATGTATACCACTTTTATTATAATTTTAATCTATTATAATTTTATTTATATGTGATAATTATTATAAATAAGTATATTACATATACGAAAAATAAAGTAATTTGCAATTTTATTATATGTTTTATTAGTTGTAAAATTGTAATATATTAATAATATTGAATCGTATTTGAAGAATTTAAAAAAACTGCTTTTACGGCTTTTTCGATTTGCTTTCATTTACTTGCATTTCACATTTTGGAATGCATCATGAACTTTTGAAAATGTGAATCATTGCTATTTTTTAATATTTAAAATATTTTATGAATAAGAAACTTTTGAGATACTTATATAAACAAGAATTCTGAGTAATTTAAAGTTGGTTAATTGTGTGTTCCTGTACTTGATTATATACAATAGTAGTATAATAATTTTATTGATATTCATTGTAATAAAATAACTGTACACAATATATTATATATTTGAAAACAGTGACCGATCATCGAATCCAAAGTAGCTTTTACATACAACAAATAATAAACATTGATACACCTAATAGTTTAAGAACTAATCATCTACAAAAAAACTGGCGTACCATGCGTAAATAGTACATCGCTTTGTATTATACACCAAACTTATCAAATCGGGCAATAAACTAAGGTATATTAAATATTTTTATTTTATTTTGTACGATTAATAAAGACAATATTTTCAAACATAAAAAACAATTAATATTATATTCAATTACTATTTTATAAATCATATAAACAAATAATGTATGCATACAAAAAATTTGATTTTGAAAATATAAGAAAAAAATTATCATTAAATTATCTTAAACTAAAATTTATATTATCGAGTAATATTAAATAAATTAAGATAACACTTTTTTATGTAACAGAAAATAATAATAGTAATATTAAAAATTGATAATAATAGACAACAGTAATTATAATAATATATAAAATACCTGATACTATATATGTGGTGAAGGTTAGAAAAAACGAAATAAGTATGTCTATATTCTTAGAATTGAATTTTTAGTATCTGTAGAATCAATTATCAATTATCAATAGTATACATAATAATTATTATCTGTTCAAAAAATAATTCCACAAATCTGACTCGTCAGCTAAAAGTGCAAAATCAACTTCGAACAAAAAAACCACTTGATGTTGTGTGGGATTGCTGGGCACGTAAAGGATTAATGCACCGATTCAATAATTAACACATATCTTTATTATTGCTGTTTATTCCATTTATTTCACTTTATTTCCAAGTTGGATCATTAACCATGGTGAAATTACAAATGACCTTTATATTTCTTAATACTCTTGTGGCTTGAGATATATCCCTTTATTGAAGAACTAGAGGATAATCAATTTGTCATTCTCTGCATATACCGGTGAGATTATGATTTACTGTAAAAAGAAATATGTGATAATCTATTGAATATTATCACTTTTTTAGGTTATGATCCTTGTAGTGCTCTGATCGAACACTACAATCTTATTGTGTTTTGCCTTAACACGTGTGCAGTGTGTCGCGAATAGCTGTTTGTTGGAGGAAATGAAAAGCCACTGTGTGGCGTTTATTGCTGGTCTTGTTTTTTAGAGTATGTTTGGGAAGCTTCACTAATTGGACTTCAGCCGTCCGTTTTCAGAGTAAACCCGAGAGATATAAAATCAGTACTAGCAGTAATGATTTACTTGCAATGTAGCGTGATTCTTCCACACTACTAGCGGTAAGGACTTACTTGCAGTGTATCGTGAATTTTCCAGTCTCTCTTCGTTGGCTTGATGTGAAATTCCCTTTCAATAATTGTAGCTCTTAAGTTCCTTGCTTGTCTCCAAGTGAGATTACAAAGGCCTGTTCTATGCAATTTAATCTTGATGAGATCAATGCTTAACTATATATTGATTCACAGTCATAAAAAGAACTTTTACTAGACTCAGCTGAACGACTTTGTCTCTGGTCCTCCTCCGTGACAGTAAGTCGTGACTTATCCTTCAATTATGTGTGAAGGGTTAGAAAAGAATACGCAGCGGTACATTACATTGCCCGTCTTAAATAGTTCACTAACCCGGTTCCACTTGTAATCCCTTCTTCTTTTAATTATCCAATCAGAGGTTGACCTTGGGCAGCATAATGGATTATGCACGCCTTCATTTCCACTTTCTTCCGGGCTCAGTTCCGAATATGCTAGTCGGGAAAGTGTCGGAAAGTGGGGAGGTTTTACTATTGGTCACCTCTCCTTGGTCGCCTCTCCCTTCTTTGGGACTTGGCTAAACGAAGGGTCCTCTTGGGTGTGGTCGATCTTCCAATGCGATCGACTAGATGCGGCATAGTTAAGAACAAAGCAAGCATTGCCTTTAAAAGCCGTGTGCGCACGTACGCCTATTGCTTGTTGTCGCACGTGCAGAGTTTTGGGTTGCGGCGAATTTTAGGAAATGTAAGTATTCGGTATTTTTACGTATATCTGATACTCTATCAGAATCTACGTCTTCTTAACAGTAAACAACATATTAGTTTTTACTGCACCGGAAAAGCATGAGCACGTTTTTAGATAAGAAAGAATAAATAGCTAAATATTCACTGGAGTTTTCCAGATGTATTGACCAACTCGAATGTCCAGCGACCGTGGGAAGTCGTGGCAAGAAAACGTTCTCGCATTCTCGAACATTATAAAATTTCTTTAGAAAAGAATTTAATGTTTCGTTATTTTACAAATTTGAGTATAATACAATCACTTTCGATATATTATATAATATATAATATTATCAAATTATAAATTATAATATAATGATATTTATGTTTGTAAACACGATTAAGCGAATTCGGGAAATTTCCTACGTCGAAAACTCGAATATACGATTATATTTCCGAATAGCAATACCAATGAACCTTCCAAAGCTATATCCTATTGACGTGACAACAAATTTTGGCATAGCAACAGGCACCGGTGCGCTGCTGGCGTCGCAAGCTTCTACGAGAATATTTAAGAGCAGAGCTTGATGCGCAGTGCACTGTGCTAGTAACAATTACGCAGTCACCATGACGGGCTCACTATTCTATCTTCAAGCATACAACTTATAGCTATCACTGTCTGTAGCTATACAAGTACTTAATCATCAAGTAATAACCAATCTAACAAACCAATAGTGACGCCATAACTATCAGCATCCGTTAAACATATATTCAAGAAGCGCTAGTGCAAATATAAATTAAGAGTGAAATTAACGAAACTATAACTACAACATACATTGATGGATCACACCGGCGGCTCTCACACTCACAAACAGCAACGGTTGTTAGGCACGTTGCTTACGCTCACACCGGCGGCTAAAGTAGCATCGTCCCAATCAGTCCTTTAGTACGCGCCGGCTACAACAGCGATACTTCTCATGAAAAGAAGGATTCACGCCTCACACTACTGAGAGTACACACACTCTCGTCAGCACGGTAAGCAATTGAAGAAACTTCATACATAAGTGACTCATACTCTCCATTCATACACTTCTATACCATTAACAAATATTATATTATTGTATTTAATAAAGGAAAGACCAAAATATACTGTGTGTAGAATTGAATAATTGCATTTGCCTCCTCCACTCAACATCACCGG